CTGCTTATATGAATATTCATGACAATGAATTGGCTAATTCAGCTGTAAAAAAGAGTTCAGAATTAAGAGATCTATTCAAAAAATTATGTTCTGATCTTTTATAAAGAGAAAAATAAAAGAATCTTCTTTAGACAAGTGAAATGAAAGCTAGCAGAAACAAAAGAAGAGTATATATTATTCAAGATTTGAAACAAAACCCAAGTGGAAATCTTGTTCAATTAAATGTAAAAAGAAAATATTCTCATCTATAATATAGCTGAAACTAGGACATGACTATTTCAAATCTTATATACAAAGATTTGATGATAGATTTGATTCAATAGAATGCTCATTCTGCAATGTAAATGAGAATTCTGAGTATATTATAATACACTGTGTATTATACAATAGTCTCAAAGTCAGATTGAAAGAGAAGTATAATCTAAATCAATTAAATATGAGATTCTTATTCTCAACTGAGACAGGAATTAAATACTTAAAAGACTTTCTATCAGAAACTCAAGCAGCTATAAGAAAATGATCAAATTCAGAAATATCTGAATATGAAGAGGAGGAAATTAATCAGATATAGTCTGTTAAAACAGCTATATACTATCTTTTAATACTTTGTTTTGTTACAATCTCTCTTTACTTTATCTTTTTCTTTCAATTCTTTTCTATCTATCTATTTAATGTGTCTATCTTTAAGACTGTGTTCTCTTTTCTTTTGTCATGATATTGTCAAATGATTTCAAAGTATTAGAAGATGTTAAAATACTGCAATTTGTAAACAGTTTTTGTATTCTAAGCTGGAATTTTCTGATTTTGCATATCTGAAATTGATGAATGTATAATAGTTAACTTTATAGATATAGGAAAAACTCTGAGAACTAAAAGTTCTTGGGTAGATATCATAGTCTCTGACTGCATACATCTATAATTGAAGAATAATAATAATAATAAGACTGTTAATTCATGAGTACTCTCTGAACAAGAATCTGTCAAGTTCTCAAGATTATATATCATTTATTAATCATCTATCACTCTGAGACTGATAATTAGACTGACCGTGTGACCGTGTCTGAGACCAGGACCAGATTTTTTGATAGTCTCATTACCAATTCGACTGATCCCATTACATGGGTTTAACATTAGATAGTAGTCTCATACTGTCTCAGTGAGACTTACTGTCTACTCTTGTCACATTTTTCAAATGAGATCATGATTTCCACTTCTCAATTTAAATTATTTTTATTCCATTAAATGACTTTAAATCTCATTTGAGTGTTATCAAAAAGTGTTACTTTTTTAAAAAATTAAAAATAGTCTAAAAAAAACCTTAAAATGTCTAAAAATAGTAACTTTATGCTAAGAATGAAACTAAATGAGATCAATGAGATCACTTTCTCATTTTGTTCAAGTCATGGTTTCATTTTTAAGA